GAAGTTGAATTATTTTCAACAGAATGATTATTGTCAGTAAACTGACCTATGTCAACGGACTGCTCAATAGAAGCAGCCGGTCTTGTAGCCAATGATTTGGCTGAATCATTAATATAATATGATAGCAACTCTGCTAACTGTCTCCTAAAATAACTAGTAAGATAATACCTATCTTTATTCAAATAAAAATATTTACTAATATAATTATTAGTATCCATAAAATGAAATTTACTATAATGAAATGTCAAGCTGTGTAATGTTCTATTTAAGTTATGCCTCAAATTATTTTCACTTGTTGTGAGGCTATTGCTGAAGGGAAAAGCTAACAAAATAATTTCTTTTATATTAATTAAATTATTTAATAGTGAAAAATATTGTATTAAATCTTTTTTGTTACATTTTCCTCTTCTGCCAATTAAAATTATTAATGAAGTGTCTATGTCAAATTTAGTTGACAAAATACTATCTAATATTTTACAGTATGTTGCACCTGGCATGCAAATATTTGTTAATTTTATTCCTAGGTGGTTAAGTTGCAAACCTATATTTTTACCCATTTCATCACTATACATAACAATATTTTTTTGAATTTAATTTGACCTAGTTATTGGAATTTACCTATTTGATGGGAAAGGAATTTACCTATTTGATGGGTATTACACCAACTCCAAATTGTAGTAATTGTGGCGTAATTGAAAAATGTTTACCATGTGTTGATGTAATGTGTTCAGAATGAGGAGGCAGTTCGGCAATGTGGCCAGCATACGACAGACTAGATGGTGTAACATTGTATTGGTCGTTCTTTCGTCTAACGAATCCAAGATACAGTCAAAACTTCGTTCCTTATTTTGGGACCAGAGCAACGTATATGATATTGCCTAATATTTATTTTTCACCACACTTTCTCGTAAATAGTACGATTGCATGTGGCTACCTTAACTATAATGCCCCAAATAAAACCCTCGGGCCCTTTTTTTCTTATTACAGCTATGCAGGTAAGAAGTTTTTTTTTTATTTATAGCGCGGCACACTTCCTTAGATAGGACAAATTCAAGTTCAAGCAAGGAGGTTACTATAAAATTCGCTTCAAATGTTATCTAAACAGGAATTTAATTGCAATTCAGCCACATATATACTTCGGTTAGTAATTTCTTACCGTCTTCCTTCTTTCTTTACCGTCATTAATAACAACAGTAAATTGACATGTCAATTGGGAAATTATGAGAATTTATAATTATGCCTAAAATTATTATGCCACGTAATATTGACCCTCAAAATTCAAATGGGACCACCTTAAAATATGTTCTATTCAATAAAAACATACTATCAAAATCGGTTGACAAATGAGAGATTTATTTTAAAAATAAAGTCTATTTTATTTTCCGAAAAAAAAAAATAAAAAACGAGACAACACATACATATTCATGCTGTTTGTTTTCGTTGTTACTTATATGTTTGTGTTTTTATCTTTTGAAATGTCCTACAGAATTGATAGTTTTTCATTCATTATTAACTAAATATACATAGATCGCATAGAACACATGATAACTAAATATATGCAAAGACAATCTATACATTCAGTCATTAATTTGCGGCTAATTTTATTTCATGCGGATGGAGAGTGGGAAAATGAACTGCATGAAAAAATATTCAATACAAACGCAGCTATATTGCACAATGTAGAAAGATAAAAATACTTGCATTTTCATTAACTAAATGTTATGTATTTTAATTTCTAAACACAAAAGTACCTTAATATTATTGGACGGTTCCGTAATGACTAGAATATTTTAATTTATTTATATCTTTTTAAAAAACAATTGAGGAATTTAACAACAAGGAATTTATTTTAAATAATTCTTACAAGTGTGCATTATATAAAGTCAAGAGCATATCAATCTTGACATTTTAAATTTTGTATCGTTCTTACAGCAAGCAGCATAGAGTCACATTTACCTAAAGGGTCAAAGTGCACATGCTCTTGATTATGTAGTTTTTAAAGATCAAAAATCAATGTAAATATATTTTTATATTATGTATTTTACGTTTCCGAATAATTTAAGGTTCAAACAAAAATTCTATAACAAGTAAAAAAAGGTAGATACGTTAATTGCACCACAACTAGCGCTTACAAATGGTACCACATAGAAACGTGACAATAATAAGTACGCAATGAGTGTAAGTAGTTTGTACAGTTCGCACAAAATCTCTAAACACACGACGACATCTTTTGTAATCTCTGACGTTTTTAACATTTGACAATTTCAGAGTGCAACGTGAGACTGAGCTCAGGCAGGGCTGCGACAATCTCCGTGTGCAGTTGCTGGTCTGCCATCTCATATGTCATATGGGAGCTACAGGCTTCGGCCGGCGCGGACCAAAACCAGCACCGGAAGGGGAGGACTATCTATCTCGTAACCGAGACGGCGGGCGGAGTTCGATCTCAAGACCGGCTCCGGCCAACCCGTAATCCAACATTGAGTGGGACCGGGGGTCCTTCGCACTGAGAGGAGGGCCGCGAGGAAGAAAACCTCTATAAAAATCACCCCAATCCTAAGCTCTAGTCCCCGGCGATGGGATGAATGGCTGCAGGGTATCCAGTCATTATGGCGCCCCAGTGAGGAGCTCACCCCCTTTCAAAGCAAAACAACATGGAAAAGGCTAGTTTTATGTCAAAATGGTCCCCAGGCGGGTCCGAATCCCGCTCATCCGCCCACCCGCCGTAAACATAACACGCGCACTCGATGTACGGATTCTGATTTGGCTACTACGATTAGGATGGACGGCACGAAGGCCTCCAACATGGAGGTGAGGATTCAGTTGGACTGTGAATCGGAGGGGGAGAGGATGGTCTCGGCCTCCTCGGACGAAGAGTCCACCCTCTCTGAGGGGAACTCGCACGCGGTGTCGCGCTCCGGGTCGGCCGGAGAGGAGGGATCCTCGAGGGCCCCTAAGCGCGCCGCCCCCTTCGAACAAGCCTCTGGAGCCCGAAAGGACTCCGAAGGTAAACACGGCCCGTAGGGGCAGGCCCAGGGGCCCCATGCAGAAGGCTATACGCCAGGGTGATCCGGGGTATGGCCTTATACGGGGCTCCCATTTGAAGTGGGGCCCTATCAGCAACGACGAAGTCGCTCCTGAGGAGGCCCCAGAGGGTGGTCGCCCTGCGAATGTGCGACCTCGAAGCCGAGGTCCTGGCGGAGGTCCGCACCTACCGGCGGGGAATGAAGGATCGAGGCGAGAGACCCGCTCCCCAAGACGTCGAGCGGAAGCGCATGCGGGACCGGTGGAAAGAGGGCTTGGGGGATCCCCCCTATGGCGCTCGTACCATAGGGGCGACCCGCCCTGTCCTCATAGAGTGGGTAAACCGGTCCCACGGGCCACTGTCGTACCACCTTGTGCAGGTGCTGACCGAGCACGGCTGCTTCGGTACTACCTGCATAAGGTGGCGAGGAGGGAACCGTCCCCGTCGTGCCACGAGTACGGCGCTGCGGATGACACCGCGCAGCACACCCTAGAGGTGTGCAGCCGGTGGGATGAGCAGCGCCGCACTCTGGCGGAGACAGTAGGGCAGGACCTCTAGCTGCCGGGCGTGGTTGGCGCTATGCTCGATAGCGACGAGTCCTGGGAGGCGGTGGCCTCCTTTGTGCAGAAGTAGGAATACTGACAAAAATTATCATTTTTTCATTACCGAAAGGCGAAGATTTATTCTATTATAAATTTATTCTATGTATGTAACTATCTATTATATAATTGTTAGCTAAAGGTATTTACTACTCAACTTTCACAAATGCACATAACTTAAAAAAGTTTTAGGTACATGTCGCCTGATGTTCAAGCGTTAACCTTTAAATTGAGAGGCAACCGTTCTCCCATCGCTTTACTAAATAAATAATACTCATTCCAAATTACTATATTACACACTATGTACATTATAATAATTACCTAATACTAAATAAATAATTGTAATTTCAAAGTCTGACTAGTCTTTTATTTACATTACAACCCTAGCGTATTCAAGTTCCGCACGACTGCACACGGCGGGCAACGTATTTTCACCTCTCCGAGCGCCTGCTTATGTTCCTTTTTCCTCGTAGTGAACGCCTGATATCATTAGTCAGATTTAATAGGCTATTGTAACGTAGGTATTTAAGATTTTTTATGATATTGTAGGATAATATCTGTTACGCAGTAACTTTTAAGTAATAGTTTGGCGGCCTCCGTGGTCGAGTGGCTTGCACACCGGTTTTCATGGTGTCGCCATCTCTGAGGTCCCGGGGTCGATCCCCGGCCGGGTCAGTGTAGAAAACTAACTTTTCTATATTGTCTCGGGTCTGGATGTTTGTGGTACCGTCGTTGTTTACGATTTCCATAACACAAGAGCTTTAGCTACTTACTTTGGGATCAGAGCAACGTATGTGATGTTGTCTAAAATTTATTTATTTATTATAATAGCTAAGCAGGTTGGCTAATTAGCCGACTTTTAGCATGACACTTTTACCACGTTTAAAAATATCTACCTTTTTTTACTTATAAATGTTTTTGAATTGAAAAAATTAGTAACATTTACAGTATCTAGTGCAACTAGAAAATTTTCATTACATGAAATATATTATACAGTTAATTAGAATTTATTTGAGTATTATCTAATAGGGAGATAAAACCAGCTTTCCTTTTATAGAGGTCTTGACTACATGAACACATTGTGGAGAGATCGTAGTTCTGACATTTTTGTCGGTTCTGAAAATAGATTTCTATCCACAGCGCCAGCTCACTTTGAAAGCATTCCTAAGCCTACATCTGTTGTGTAGTATAATTTATTTACAAAACATAGTAATATTAATATTTTAATCTACATTATAATTAATGAATAGGTATAATTAATTTTAATAAATAATATATTTTAATGCATAATATATAATATAGCATTATAAATATATAAATGCATAATATAGCATGCGTCATTATCAGTGATCGGAATTGAGGGAGTTAATTTAAGTGAACTAAAGAATAACGTGGATATTCTCTTCTACAAATCCCGGAACTTCTCGGAACTGAAACTGGAAAAATTTGAGTACATTGGTAACAAATTATTATTCCTTATCAAGTATTTGCTACAAATTATAGTTTCAAAAAATAATATTGTAACTATTTAAATACGTTAGCCATCTAAAAAACTCTACATGAGACAACCTATATTCTGAAATGTTTAGAAAATAAACAGTAAGAAAAAAAAGAAATTTTATACGCATTGATGACGAAATGGGTATGTCCGTATTAAGAAATCGTTCATGCTTAAGGTAAATTAACACCCTCAATCCCGATCACTGATCATAATATATCAATTAAATAGCTGCCAATAATAAATTAATTGTATTACAACCGTAACCTTGCATGTTTTATTGTAAACTGTAAATGTGAGAGGATGTGTGTGGTCAATTTTAAATAAATAAAAATAAGTATTATAGTCATGCAATAAAATTATATCAATGCAAGTTAGTTTAGGACTTGGTCAACTAAATTCCATAGTTGCAACCAACTATATGATTATAAGGCCAAGACTAGAATATTAAGAAGGAATAGATTGGGTATTAAAACCTTCACGTGCTACCACATTACGTGCACCCAATAAACGATTGTAAAATTATAAGGGTTATATACAGGCTTATTTCTAAAATACTAACCACCTCCCAGGACTACTTACTTGTTACTAACATCATAAACAACATTTTTTTCTTTCGTACAAAAATTGAAATATTTATATAGGTTTAAGTGGCGATAGAAGGATAGATAGGTTTAGGTGGTGCTGTGACAAAAGAACCGTTGGTGTAAATACCAATCCGATGCAAAATGTATCGTCGGGAAGACGACACTTGCATGTTTGAATATATTAACTTAAATGCAGATCTAAAAAGTGTCATACAGTACAACAAAACCTTAGAAGTTTATTTTGTTAAACAAAAAGTATTGGAACAAAAGCTGTTCTTTGTGACGTTAGTAATATAGTCCTGCGAGATTCTTAATATTTTACAAATAACCTAGTATAAAACATTATACTAATTATGGCAGCAGGTAATTCATGAACCATGCACCGCTTCAAATTAAGTAACTTCTCTATAGCATTTCAGGAAGATACAATTCCTGGTTACTAAAATGAACAAAGTTGATGTGCTTACAGTCACCAGCAAATTCAGCTTTAAACTCTATGATACTTATGATAAAAATGGTCCATAATGTAAAGCTAAGTATTGTGACGACTGTCACGTTTCGTTTGACCATAAGATTGTCACTTGATCATTGCAAACGGTTATTAAACAAAATGACTATTTCTTAACGGGTATATTCTTGCATACCCATTCCATGCCTTCTTTGACGCCGGTACCATCTGTAGCCACACAGGCCTGAATCTGCCATGTACGGTCTCTAATTAGGTGTAAACCGAGGTGCTGAGCTACTTCGCTTGATGGAAGAGCTGAAATTATAAAGTTTAATATTAAAGCAGCTTTATAGTTTTTTTTTTATAATATAAGGTGAGGGGCGAACAAGTCGTCAGCCTGATCGTAAGCTACACACCTATCCATAACAATTGCAGTGTATGCACGGTATGCAAGAAGACGTCGGTTCGAATCCGACTGGATCGAAGGAATTTTTTCTGAGTGTTTTTTCTGAGTGCTCGATCTTTGTATTAATAATTATAACAAACTAGTGGAGTAATTTCACAAAAAATAATTGAATATAAATTCAATAAAAATTTAATTAATTGCAGTGTCACTATGAGCTTTAAATCGTAAAGATCTGAGGGGCACTGCCACTGCGCCCGTCACCCTGAGACATAAGTTCCATGTGCCTGTAACTGTTTCACCAGCACCCTTAGGCGATTAACACATTGCACTGCGCCCCGCGACGGAGCGCTTAGCTGCGTTTTTTAACGTTGTACTGAAGTACCTCAGTTTGTATGGAAAACACGCGCCGTCGAACACACTGACTCCGGTTCTCCGCTATCTCGCCGCAACCGCAGCGAATGGCACACTGCGCTCCGCACTACCGCGCAGATTTATAATCAATTTGTGTATATTCCAGTAATTATTGTTCGGATTGTCCCTAACAAATAATCAAGGCATTCAGTTGACATACGTGTGTAGTTGACAAATTAATGTTCATTATTTTCTTAAACCTTTGTAATGAAGTTAATGTTATCTTCGGCGTCTTATATATTTGTAAACAAAAACCAAATAGACAGTATAACTGCAGCGACCTGAATGAGTTCTGTATTCTTAACCATTCTTGCCAAAGCAGGATCTCAGCTACATATATATAGCACTGCGGCGATCAACTACGAAGCAAGTACTTTAAGTGTGTTAATTTGTGTTTGTGTTAATTGCCTTACCTTTCAAAATCAGAACACAGTAATGCTGACATTAAGATAGCAGTGCTTCCCTGGACGAACTCTTTCATGAGGAGCTCTACTGCTACCAGTTGTAATATTAAGTTTATTGTGAGTTTATTTGACGATGTTGTACTACCATGATATTCAATTATTTTTGTGAAATTACTCCACTATCGAGTTCTTAGGTTTTCGCGATTGTTACACATTTTCACGATTGACTTCCGCAACCGGGGGCCCCAACCGGGCCCCAAACCGGGGACCCCAACCGGGGCCCCCAAGCGGGGACCCCAAGCGGGGACCCCAAGCGAGTACCCCAACCGGGGCTCCCAATCGGGGACCCAAACCGGGGACCCCAACCGGAGCCCCCAAGCGGGGACCCCAACCGGGGCTCCCAAGCGGGGACCCCAACCGGAGACCCCAACAGGAGCCCCCAACCGGGGCCACCAAGCGAGGTCCCCAAGCGGGGACCCCAACCGGGGCCCCCAAGCGGGGACACCAACCGGGGACCCCAATCGGGATCCCTAAGCGGGGACCCCAACCGGGGCCCCCAAGCGGGGACCCCAACCGGGGCCCCCAAGCGGGGACCCCAACCGAGGTCGCCAAGCGGGGCTCCCAACCGGGCCCCCAACCGTGCCCCCCAACCGGCCCCCAACAGGCCCCCACAACCAACGCCCTAACTCACCCCCATATGCCTTGTAAATTTATCATAATTGTCAGTTTTAATTGTTAATTGTTAATCAAAAACATTGAAAAGATTGAAAATTGATTAATTGTTAATTGTAGATATTTGCGATTAGCGATTGATCAATTGTTAGTTGCGAGAACCGCAATTAACAATTGATTAATTGTTAATTGCGGTTCTCGCAACTAACAATTGATCAATCGTTAATTGCTGTTTCGCAATTGTCAATCTTTAATTGCCAGAACAATTAAATTTTGCCCAACACTGCTGAATACTAATGAGCCCACTTTCTGGGCCCATTCTTGGAATAATCGAGATGATGCTTTTAAGGGAAGTGATATTCCCTGCATAACCCAATGGGAGACAGCCGAGATTGTAGTTAAGTTAGTGATGAAGAGACTCAGAGTCGTATTCCAGAACTCTAGTCAATGCTCAAGTCAGGATTTGAGTATGGTTTAAAGCATTCGAAATCATATTCAAGTTCCTGCCATTAGAGTCGTATTTCCAGTGCTTGTGTTTCAATTGCAATCCTGACTTGAGCATTGAGTAGAGTTCTGGAATATGACCCTAAGTCTTTTAAGGCGTTTTATAACGACTCGACTCCGTTTTACAGGACTCGACTCTAAAATTAAGGCTTGGTGGTTCGAGATTTTATTATTAAGACTCAGTCGTTCTACTAAAAGACACAAAAGACTTAAACAACTTGAACGAATTGAAAGACTTAAACAACTCGAGTTGTTTGTAAAGGACTTATACCTATTTTATTGTCTTATTAAACCCGAAGTTCATAAAAATTCCGTAAGTAGTATGTAGTAAATAATCACGTTTAGTTACTTATAATAAAAATGGTAAAATAAATCACGCCATGCGGCTCATGACTCGCGACTCCCGAGGCTATGAGGCGCCAGTCGTTTTAGTCTTTTAAGCTTCCTAGGGTTAAAAGACTTCGACTCGAATTAGTCTTCAGTTTTAGTCTTATGACTCAAGACTTGAGGGAGGTTTTTTAAAAGGCCTTAAAAGACTGAGTCTCTTTAATCATTAATTTAAGTAGGCCTTTATCATGATGTTAAACATCAACTGTCTCCTACCACCAGGAACAATTATGGATGTTTATAAGCTTACATTACATTTAGTAAATGACAGACATTTTAAGCAGTATTTGCAAGACAAGGAAGTTGGTAACTCAGAGAACATCTGTAGCAAAGTGCACTCAATAAATTACATCATAAGTTTCATACCTGTGGGCAAATCTTGTTTATTAGCATACACCAGCAGTCCTACACCACGTAACTTCTCATCTTGTAACAACTCCGTTAGCTCCTGACTGGTCTCTTCCAGCCGCTGATGGTCTGAGCAGTCTACTACGTATATCTGGAAATAATAATATTGTAAACAAACACACCTGGTCTAAAACTAGGGGCATTTTTTATGAGTACGGATATCAAAGCTAAATAATACAAATAATGTAATTTGAAATTTACTATGAGCTTTTCGGTGAAGGAAAATATCGTGATGAAACTTGCAAGTCGAAGAAGGTTCACAAGCCTCACAAAATGCGAGAAGTCCCCAACAGTCAGCACAGCAGACTACGACCTAAACCCACTCCTCTCAATAGACCCGTACCCAGCAGTGGGACGTATAAATAGGTTGACAATGAATACGAGAGCAATGAAATTCACTCCGGATCACTACCTTGAACACCCAGCCCAGAACCAATATAGAAAAGTTTTGTTTCTCTATTATATCTGTACCCACAGTGTTAACCATTGGACGACCTAGGGTACCAAATAATGGTTAATGAAATATTGTTGATTTATCAACAAAATTAATCAGTACATGTTGTGTCTTCCTTCATTTGTTCTATTCCTAGAAACAATTCTCTAATCGTAGGAAATGAAACTATTTTTCCTGATTTAACTCGCATATATTTGTTTTTTCAAACTAACCAACATTTCGGGCCCTTTACAGGTCCCATGGTCATGGTTGACCAAGGTGGTACAGTCATCAACCAATAATTGGTCTAATATTAATGCAAACCACCCTATTTTTTCACTATAGTTACAAAAGTTATTAATTAAACACCTTATTTTTTATTTTTGGCACCATGGATAAGGTGGCAATACTATCCTGAACAAACTTTTCACAAGGATATCTACTGCTACTAAATTAATAAATAATGTTATGATTTAAAAACAGTGTGTTAAAGACCTGAGACCAGTTTATTCATACACAAAAGTGTGTCAAGAATTTAACAAGAGCAATTCTTTTAACTTTGAACAGATGTTAATAATTAATATATACATATTATACCACAATACACAGTAACTTACCAATATATCAGTATTTTCAAAATAATTTCTCCAGTAAGGTCTAATTTTTCTCTGCCCGCCAATATCCCACACGTTCAGTTTAAATCCATTCGAAAGGACCGATTTTATATTAAATCCAGCTGTAGGAGTTACGTGGGACACATCTTCGGATGCGAGTTGCTTTAGAAGAGTAGTTTTCCCAGCATTATCAAGACCGAGTAGTAAAAGACGAAGTTCCTTATCAGGATTAGACCTCAGCTTCTTTAAAATGCTCAATAAACCCTGAAAAATCAATATTTCATACACTTGATTAATCATAAAAAATTAATTGTACTTACTCAAAATTATTGCAAACACACTTTCACAAACTTGCCATTGTCTATGAGCGTTGTTGATGATTTGATATTATATTAATCTTTATATACTTTTAGAATCTGTTTAGCAATCTTTGACATTGTAATTAAAATTAAATTAACGAGTTACGTGGAGAAGTTTAGAAAATTGTTTGACATTCGTGGTTGCCATGACAACATCAACGGGAGTTGCGTACAAATAAAAAATATTAAAATATATAAACTTTTATTACAGTACAGTACAGTAAATCAAATTTACCATCAGTTTTAAAAAAAAGCCTTAAATTTACACTCTCTTGATTTCAATTTACTTGATCGTAGCTCAGAAGAATTTAGTAAAACATACATACCGTCATACTATCGCAATAGGAGCTACCAAGCAATTTGTTAAATTTGTGGCTACAGTAGCCAATTCACGCTGCTAAATTATAAATATTTATTCCGTAACCGCTCAGTCTTGTGCAGGGTAGGAGCTATCTAGCGGTAGCCGAATGTTGTGAAGGAAGATTGGTAAAACTTTGTGCACTTGTGCAACATAAGAAAAGCGTAGAGAAAAGAAAACCGCTTCCGCTTACCGCTTTTTTTTTAATTTATTTCTGGCCATGGAAATAAAGTCCTTCAGCCGAAAACATAAAAATAAGTTTTTCTGTAAATATGGCCGCCACAAAGAGGATAGGCAATTTGAGGCGGCGTGCTTGGATTGACTCGGGATTCCTTAGAACGGGCCGATACGGGTATTTTAGTTCGAGATTCGTATAATTTCGCGTTTTAATCTTCGATTAAGGCACAATAGCACTACATATCCTATTCCACTTTAAACTAGATTTCACAAAATAATTGAAAGTCAAAATAAAAACGACACTTTTCCCTAGACATGTGTAAGTAATGTGAGTAATATTACAAAGGTGATATCACGCGACAGGGTACTGTGATATCACGCATCACTTCGGAAAAATATGCATTACTCATAACATTACCCATTACATAGACCATGTCGGGGTGCTCTGGGAGTTTCCCAAAATGAACTAAATATAGTAAATATCTATATTAATAGCGCCACCCAGCAAATTTTCGACGTACTACTTGATCGGACATTGCTAACCGTGCCGTAGGGTTACGTAGCGCTGCTGCCAGGTGTCGCTACTAACACCCATTACGCGAAACAGTACTCGGCGTGATGCAATACTGTGATGCTATGATGCAATGTAATGCTAACATCACGCGTGATGTTCTCATTACGCGTGATGGTAGCATTACGCGTGATGTTAGCATTACGCGTGATGTTAGCATTACTCGTGATGTTAGCATCACGGAGTGATGTTAGCATTACACATTACCCGCGTGATGCATCGCTCGGAAACAGTACTCGCGTAATGTATTACCTGAAACAGTACGCGTGATGGTGGTATTACGGAGTGATGTTTATAGTCTAAGTAATGCGAGTGACGTTGTAACGGTAACATCACGGAATGATGTTTGTTTATATGAGACATCTCGTGTAGGTAATAGTAATATTATGCGTAATGCAATGTTAATGCATCTAATTTGGAATATATACCTAGTAGAACGATGTTTGTATTAGCACCCAAATTATTTAATAACTTACCTTACTATGGTGGTTGGTGTGGGTTGGTGGATGGTGTAATCGAAATAAACCGTAAACAATTTAAACTGAAATCAATGCTTTATTAAATATAATACCTATTACAATATTTTGATTTTTTTACTTGGTAATCTAGAAGGAGATCGATACGCTTTTATACAATCTTGGGCCAAGATGTAAAAGTTGAAGGTGATAATAATAATTAGCTTATGTATTGTTATATCATCACTGGAAATTCTATGAAATTTGGCGATTTGAGAGCACAATTATAAGAGATTTAGTAAAAATGAGGTTATGTAACAATTTATAATAAAATTAACAGTTGATTTTAGGAGTGCATTTGTTATTTTTTTTATATCCAGGGTTATTTTATAAATAGTAACGACAACATAGGACTATATATATTACAAAGTACTGGTTCCGCGGCAGAAGTTTGCTATTTTTATGAATAG